CACACACTATATAAATGATAGTCACGGCAGTGGAAACATTTGAAGACGTAATGGAGCAACGCGACAGGCGAATCATGATTAAACACGATTTTTGGCTTGGACATTCAGAGGCTGCAACAGTTGCCAACGTCAACAAAGCATTGGGTGCTGGCACGGCAAGTGAGCATACAGTCCTTAGATTGTTTACCAAGTTTCGTTGCGGCGAAATGGAGAGTGACCATAAATCTGGAACCGGTCGTCCAGGGCGGTGTAATGTAGACCATTTAGGTCAGAAAGTCAAGGTCCGACCGATATCAATAGTACGACAAAGAGGATCCAAACTCCTTGTAGCACCACTGACTATTTCCCGACATTTGGCGGCAATAAGGATGGTGAAAAGCTCGAAACATGTGTACCACTAGCCCTAACGGATGAGCAACATTTAAGGTCCCTGGGATCTATGAATCTCCCCAGGAGAACGAGGTTAGATAACCATTCTTACATTGTATCCTGATTGTGGTAGAAAATGTATATTGTATGACAATAGTAAGCACAAAGCACAGTGGTTGCATAACAGTGAACCTGCGAAACAAATCCTCAAATTAAACCTTCATCCCCAAAAAATTCTCGTCTCCGATTGGTGGACCGCCAAGACCGTGTCAATTCTCCCGAGAGGCCAGACCATTTATATGGACGTGGGCCATTGTCAACAGAATGAATACCACAGGAAACTTTTCACCAAACAATCCACTGGTCAATAAGTCAGGTCCCATACTTCTGCATGATGGAGTACGACACCATGTCTCAGTTGGTAGCCGGCAAAAGATCTAGTAGTTAGGATATATTAGTTTCTGCCACACCCACCGTATTCTCCACAACTGGAGATTATCTGGCTGGAGACTGGCTGATTATCACATGTTTCACCAGTTGGACATTTGTGTGAGGGTTAAGCAATTCGCAAACCAGAATGCTTTGATTCAGGAGGTTCATGATGTCTTTGACCAATGTGACGCCGACTTATGACACCTTGGCATTATTTCACTCAAAACTCGTTGGGCAAAATGTATTTATGCCGATAGCGGCTACTTTGCTAAATATAATCCATTTCTTTCCTTGTGACTCATGTTTTCTTTCGTGTTTCATTTTCGTCCAATAACTATGGAACAACCTGTATAATATGTAATTTAAAAAAAAAGAAAATAGCCTGTTTTTATCAAGTCGGATGGTTAGAAATACCTTTCCAGTGGGGGATTTTTCTAAATATATTTGTAAATGAAACCTATAGGAAAAAACTTATTTATTTAAAGTTAATATGAACTTTGCAGCAAGAAATTCATCTCCAAATGACTCAATTTTAATTTATTTATATTAAAAATTTTCAACTCCTAGTTTCATTGTTCAGTAAAAGTTAGTTAAATTTTTGTTCCTCAATCACACACACAATGGCAAATGAAACTATTTAAGGTATTACAAATGTTTTATTTCATTTATTGTAATCTATTGTTCGGATGTACTCAGCCACCCATTCGGTATTGTGGTTAGTGACGTTGAATACTGTACCATAGGGCCTGGATTCGAATCCCGAAGAAGGCATGACTGTTTCTAAATGTATAGTGCCTTTGCGGCTTGGAGCTACTCTAAACAGCCATCGAGCCGCAAATCCATTCGTGACGTTGGTAGAAGGATAAGAGAGGTAGGAAACCTCTGACCACCCCCGGGGTGTTCTCCCTCAAAACTGAGTAGAGCCGAACCAAATCTTACTGTCACCTGTACGGTGCTCAAAGCTAGGGTTAACAACAGGCGTACAATTAGGCTCTTGACACGATGAATTTCGTTTGCCTTGATATGATGTTACTGTCGACCAAGTGGAGCAAAGAGCAACAACAACAACAACAGATGCACTGAAAAGTACCAGCTTTGGTGTCATCCTCGTCGATTGACCGTTGTTCAAAATTACGTCTGTCACTAGTAGTTCTCGTATTGCCTTATAGTGTGACGTAAATTAACATCAAATCTCATCAAAAGTTTCGAGTGATGTTTGCTTTTTTTTACTGATGCCACATTTAGAAACAACTAGACAATTATTGGACCTAGTAATTCTGGACGAGGTCCAGATTTGAACTGACACTCCACTCTCAAAACTTTCTCACCATGTCAACGTTAGAACTTTGAATTTATATAAATTTACAATGCATTAGCCCTTTTACATAAAGGCTGTTTAGTGGGATCAGGACTCGAAACTACATTTTAACAATGTTGACCATAAGCTCGCAACCATAACTACCTGGCTACCGTGACCGCCATCTTCTATAAATTCTGTATATATACACCTCTTAATTATTATTATATCGTAGTGATTCTCTCTCAAACTTTTTTCTTGCGGTACAATTTAAACAATTTCAAAATTTGGCGGCACACTAACAATTATACAAGTTTACTAGAATGTTAGTTATCTGTAATACACTACGTAAAATAAAAAATTTATAATAATAATTTTCAATGTTAAATAAATAATATGTACTACAAAGCAATGAAATGTTTATTGTGTAAGTAATTACAAATTAATTATAGGGATACATTTAATGGGAAATTTCCTAATTTTTGATCATTACGTTCATTTTTTATCGTAAAAAGGATGCCATTACATTTAAAAGTCTCGATCTGATTTCATTTTTAAATTTGCTAATGCTGAAAATCCGAATTCACGCAAATAAAATGTAGATAATTGTAGCACTATTTTAAAGCATGTTTGGCTATTATGAGATAATCGCCTCTAATGTTAATCCCAAATGTGAATTAATTCACCCTTCCAAATATTCTGAATTTAAATCTCAAATATTACAGAGTGCACGAAATTAGTTTTTTCTCTTCATTCAAAGTTAATTCATATACAGATGAATTCATTATCACAAATGGATTGTGAACCCAATGAAATTTTGATACACCTAAATTTGGGAATTATGAATGTAACTCTTTCTTTCTTCTAGTGTTGTAAAATAGTCAATGATAATTTTAGAATGGTTTACTTCCATAGAACGGCTGAATAATTTGGTACCTACGGATTAATTCCTACTTAGATCAACAAAGAAAAATTTTATTTTAGCTACTTTTTATTAAATAGTTACAATTAATGTAAACACGTATATACATAGGACAAAATCACAACACTAAGTGGTAATTAATTTTTATTAATTATCATTAAAGTATCGTATTGTCATCTAAAATAATCATGTATCTAAAATTTCAGTTCAACACTGAATGCTTTAAAACTTGAGGGGGAAAAAAACCTTTTCAAGTTTTGATACAAGTCGCCAAAAATGATGCCAACGTTGCTGTATTTGTAATTATTTGATTAATTAGTTTTAATCAATTAATTTTTTTTATTAATTATAATTAAATTACTGTATTGTCATCCAAAATAACCATGCATATAAAATTTCAGCTTAATTGAACGCTTTAAAATGTGTTTTATTAACGATTGAAAATTCCACGAAGATAAATAAATGAATATATAAAGAGGATAGCTAATAGAGTAGGAATTGAAAAAAAAATTTCAAGAATTTGGCGGTACACAAAAGTGCCGCGGCGCAGTGTTTGAGAATCGCTGCTACATCAGGAACAGAGATAGCCCCTTAAAGAGATCACGACTTTCGTTTTGAAGAATTTCGGAGTTATTACTTTTCAGAAAAGTTGAGTGTTTAAGTATATTTACCTCACGCTATAAAGCTACGCGATAACTGTTGGCGAAAGATCTCGTATTTTTGAACAATGGTCAAGTGACGTGGACGACACCTGAGCTGGCACTCCCTTAACTTGCACACCACACCAACGGGAAGACTTTGAGCCTCGATAGATTTAACGTGGATTGGGCTCCTCTATATGACGGGTTTTCAGCGATACTACATTCGAACTCATGACACGCCGTCAACGAATCCGTCAGCTTGACCGCTAGGCTACCGTAGCCTTTCCGAATAGTTGAAGGACATACGATATGCTACAATTTTCATAGCAGTTTGAACTATCAAATTTGTTTTTTTTTAAAAAAGACCTTTCGAATAATATTTTATTTATTTGTTTTCCATATTAAGTTGATCTTTACTAATATTTTAATTCAGAAAAAAATTCGCAAGTGGGTTAATGATTTTTAAAATTTTTTTTATAAGTGCAATTCTTTATATAAGTATGATGAAAAACCGTAAGGTGTTCTTATAATAAATTTTTTCAATATTATTTTGAGCTATCTGTAACATTTTGTCGCCAAGTTGGCTTAATTTTCGCCCATGGCGATGTCACATATTCTTACTAGGCGTAAGAGATTTACATATTAATGCCTATTTTTAGAATTCGCCATTATTTGTGAAGGAGAACTCGGACAAACTCCGCATTCTTTTGCTCTATTCTTATACGATGTTAATTTTTCTGTTTTGTAGCATTCTATAAATAGACATGTTGATTTTCTCCTTCCGGAAGTCTTCTCCGTTTATTTGCTTCAGTCTAGTATCATTTTATTAACTGCAATTGTTATATGCAACATAAAAAAAAGTCTCTCAAGGACTCTAGAAATAATTTATGTTATGTTTGTTACACGCACGACACATGGCATTTCTTCTCTCTAGACAAGATACACATTCCAAATTATCCAAATGGTAGTTTTCTAAAGAACTAATATAGTAAATGATAAATAAGAATAAAGTATTTTTTGGTATATTGAAAAGTATATATAAAAGAAGTAATATAAAAATAAAATTTAAGTCAATTCCTTTGATCAAGAAAGAAAAATTTTATTTTAGTTACTTTTTATTAAATAATTACAATAAATATAAATACGTATATACATATGACAGAATCACAACATTAAGTGGCAAAATAGAAACGGATATTCCTTGCAATTTTCCATTTTCCTTTCTATATAGGGTCTTGAACTATTATTTTTGTTTGTTGATTAATTAAATTTATAATAGTATAGGAAATATTTAAAAAAATAGCATTGTGAAAAGAAATCACATTCTCAGAAATTAGGTCATCCCAGATGGGATTCGCGAACGCACGACCTTTGGATTAAAAGTCCAACACGCTATTCATTACGCTACAAGGACTCAACGAGCGATTTTCCTTTTGAAATATGGTGTTGGATTATTATTTTTGTTTGTTACTATTTATTCATCAATTAAATTAAATTGATAAATTAATATTTGAAAAAAAACTGTATTAACATCAAGTGTCCTCCACT